GAGATTTATCAAATAATAAAAATAATAAAATACATTAAATTTTATTCTTTATCATGGATAGTACTTGTATAAAGCATGGCTCTCAAACAGGTCGCAGGTCGCAAGGCACTTACTGGACGGCAATTGGTAGCTTTCTTCCAGGTAGAGAACGCAAATGATCGATATGGTTATAGGTTAACAACATGGATATGCATGAGTGGAGACTTGTCAAATCTGATTCGGAAAATTTAAATATTATATTAAATGGATTTTTAACGTCCGTTTTGACGAAAGAAACTATATTCTTAATATAAACTATTGTTTTAAATAAAGAGGTATTTCAAACAGTATTAAAATACAACAATAAAATCTTATTATTTTAATTAATTAATATATTTATAAAAAAATTGTAATGAATCATTTAGATGATCATGATTGAAGTGTTGTCAGGTTTGATTAAAAGAAATAGTACATTTTGGTTGTAGAAGCAATGGTACATCAAGAATTTATTGCTAAGAAGTACCTATGCTAAAGTATTGTAAGTCACAGAAATATTAATCGAATTTTGGAGCAAAACATAAAAGACTTCGTAATATAATTTGATCATTATTCAGCAGCACTGCTGACAACAATAAAAAATATATTAATAGATTTGAAGCAGACTTTGAAAAAAAATTAAAAATAGTGATTATAAGTTGAACTCTGTTACGAGAATCGGCAACGATGTAGATCCATAAATAATTTGCATATTTTAATTCACTGTTCTTCGAAAAGTAATGGCTAGTGCACCGGGGCGATAAGAATCTGAGATAGGTTCCATCTCAAAGCAATATTAATATTTGATCTTCTAAGAGTGTGTTATATTTATCTCTATTTGCAATTTTTAATATGTCCGTTTCTCTAGTTAGACTTTTTTAAACACAAACGTTTTATTTATTTTTTGACTTGCCTGTTTCCGTCAGTCAATCAGTTTTTAATGATTTTGTTTTACTTTGTTGTTAATATTTATAATGAGTTGAGGTACAAAAAATTATAAAATAGTTTATAAAAACTTAAAATCCGTTATTAATTTTTGTTGTCGGCAAGAGTTTTGAGGTACTTTTAAATACACTATGCAAAGTGCATTCGAAACTAAGCTGGACTTTTAAATCAGTTAAAAACATATATAGAAGAAGTGAATCCTTTACTAGTGCAATGTTAAAACTTCATGAAGCTTATACAAATATTTGTAAGATCTCTTGGAATATTTCATTAAGTTCTTAAATAATGCTTCACCAAAACGGATTTAAAAATGTTTTTTCTATAAAAGAAAATTTCATAAACATATGTAAGCTCCCTCGTAATTGCAAGAATATTAACATCATTACATTACGTATATAATAAGAAGAAATCTGAGAGCCTTAGAATTTCATATTTTACAAAGTAAATAAAGATAGTTCTACGAAACTTTTCTATTCTTTCTGTTTTCCCTTGTTTTATGCAATATTCTATTATATATTATTGTGTTGTTAAAATAAAAAGTTACTCTCTATTGTATAGAGTGTTTGTAATTTACGTATTTCTTGTTTTTTTTTTGTAAAAATTTTATAAGAAATAAAACTTTACAATGCTGAGAGTATGGTTAAGAAAAGATTTTATTTAAAAAAAAATTTTTATTTTAAGCACGTAAAAGTTTCATTGTCAACACCCAAACATTTTTAAATATTTAAAGCCTCTTAAATTTGTGGTGAAAAGTTTATAACAGAATTACGGCAGTATCTTAATTTGGCATATTTTATAAGATAATAGCTGTGAAATTTCTTTTGTAACTAAAAGAAAAATAAACATTAAGAATGAGTTCAAGAACTTTTTTTTTTTAAATTTATCTCTCAAAATTTTTTTTTTGCTATTATAATATAAGAATCTGAAATAATTTAAACTAATTTTGTGCTTGAGTAAATTGTAGACATTTGACTAAATTACAAAACAATCAGGCTTACATAAGCTTATCTAACGTAGGACAACGGTTGCATAAGGAAATTAAATTAAAAATAGAAATTAATGGAAATAGTAATTTTTCTAATTATTGAAAGTGAAATTGGATCAAATAATAGTTACAGTTCGTTACTCTTCTTAATAATAATAACTTTAATTTCACCTAAATGTATAATGTCCTGTCAAGTTTTGTTGTAGTTGTAGTATTTTATAATTACGAACCTTTTAGTTTAATTAAATAATTATAATTTAAGTTACAATCAGTAGTATATTTATGTAGTACATATTTTTATAATTTTAATTTATTTCATAATAAAGGCTAACAACGCCGACATGCAACTTTTACGAATGAAACTAATTTGTGGAACAAAATTTGCTTAATTTCCCCAATGACTTACGTACACAAAATGTATCTATTATTCAGCCTATAAGAGCGTTATTATACGTCTAAAAAAATAAAGAAAACAAAGCATGATAATGCATATGTTTGCCTACTTCAAGTCAAGGCTTTATCAAGAAATGTCATCAGATGCGTTGATAACCAACTTATATATGTAATATAATAGTACATGTTTTTATATATCTTTATACTAACGTTTGTGCTCATAATCATTTTGATAAACAGATTTGATTAAATAAACTTTACATGCTATTCACGTCTATGCAATTCAGTAGCGACGGAAATGAAAACCTTACGGAAATTAAGAGCACATAAAATAAATTGTGCGTTAGAATTGTATTTCGTGCGGTTAATCCTTTTAGAATGTCCTTTTAACACATTTTGAAAAGCATGCATTAAAATGTTCTGTTCTATTTGTGTAAACACGTTTGTAAAATTCGCATTACGCTTTTACATCCATTGAAGTTGGAAGACTTAAACGTCTTTTTGCTTGTACCAGAATCCTAAATCGAAAAGACAACAGCTTTTTGTTGTTACATATTCACATTATCTTTTACTAAAATGAAATCAAAGAAAAAAAATTCTAGATATGAAAATTTCTTAATGTGTTGACTAAAGTTTTTATGACGAAAAAGGCTTGTGGTTTTTATATTCATTTTATATTCATTCACTGCCTATTTGCTTTCACTGGCCATTTCAGACTATCATAAGTTGTTGCTGGCTGTTGAAAAAGTCCTATATAAAAAAGTACTAGTTTTTATGAAAAACTTGTACTTGGCATTTTGCTTCCATTACTGTTATTAGTACTGTTATATATCTCCTTTTTTCTGTCTGCAGCTTCCTTTCCAACTAGAAATTTAGTGTGGATTATTTATTCAAGCAATAAAATAAGGTTTTTACATATGCTGTCTTTTATTGTTTTTTTAAATAATTTTTCTTAATTTGGTAATCCTAATTTATTAGAAAAATGGGTACAAATTATAAAAAAAAATATATGTTAAATATATGTTGAGCTACTTCATATTTTTCTGTTGGTCTAATTAATTTTCTGATATTTTTTGTAGCATTGATTATAATTTAGATTGCTGTTTCTGAAACGTCGACCTGTGGACTACAATCGGTCACGGCAAGTTTGTTAACATATATTATTTAACTTATGCTGTTTTCAATTGTTAAATCTGGAGTAGTTTCTCCAATCGAGATTTTTTTATAACACTCTAAATAGTTTGACTGAGATAGCAATGTTTTATATGACTTGACAAATAATATATGATTTGAATAGATGTATGTATTTATGAAAAACATGAATATCTACTAACACTACTAGAAAAATGTTAGATT